TTCTTAGCTGCATTTGACCCTCCTGACTACACACACACACCCTTAATCCTTCTGCAAACTCTCCTGGTTTTCTTCTCTCCTTCTCCTCTACCCAGACAGGTAGATGTTGGTGGTAGGAGAATTTCTCGAGGGTTGGCCGCAGGCCCTTGCCTTCTCTCAGGCTAGCTGCATACCACCTATATGCAAATAACCTCTGTTTTAGTTTTAACTCGAGCCCAGCCCTCTGCTCTGAGCTCCAAACTCAAATACACAGCCTCTTTGACACCTCCACATCAAACTCATGATCTCTCGATAAAGCTGAGTCTCCTGTCAAAGCTAATCTTATCCACTGCCATCAATCCATTTATACATGCCAGACAGCTAGGAGTCATCTCCAACAGCGACTCTTCCCTACCCTCCTAAGCCAACCCATCACCAAAACCTGATTTGGTTCCTATTTCATGAACTCTTCCACTTCTCTAACTCTGCCACATTTGCCCTGGTCCTCCCTGCCCCAGACCACTAAAACAGCTTCCAACCAGTCTCCCCATTCCATTCTTGCCTCTCTCAAATTCATTCTCTGCATGGCAGCCAGAGTGATAATTTTTAAATGCAGATCTCACCATGCCACCCCCTGCTTTAAATTCAACTGCTCTTAGGATAATAACAAAACTCTTCACCAAGTTTATAACATAGGATCAGGTATGGCTGCAGAAAAGATACCCCAAAAATGGCTTAAACAAGATACTTTCTTTCCTGTTCAGCAAAATTGCAGAGGCAATTCAGGGATGGTACCAGCAGCCCCACCATCAAGAGACCCAGTTCCTTCTATCTCATTGCTCCAATTTCCTAAGACGTAGCCTCAGGGTCCAAGATGACTGCCGAGGCTTCGGCCACCACATCCCACTCCAGCCAGAAGGAAGGAACAAAGAGGGGTACAATCTCCCTATAAAAATACTTTCAGAAGATTCAGATACTGCTTTGGCTAGAGTTTAATCACATATAGACACCTCGGCTACAAGAGGAGCTAGGAAGTATATTTATTCTGAATTGTTACTAAGGAAGAAGGGGAAAACATCAGACAACTAGCAATCTCTACCAATCGTGCCATTTTATAGTATGTTCTCCCTCTTCATTCTCTTTACTCTGGGTCACTCCAGCTTTTTTCTGTCTTGCACATTCACCAAGCTCCCTCCCACCACAGGGCCTTCCCACACACTATTCACCTTGCATAGAATGTTCCTTACCCTACTCGCCCCCCATCCTCCAACCAATCTAATTCCCACTTGTAGCACCTTCCCCGTATGTGATTGGTCAGTATGATTCTTCACTAATATCAATTGCTCCATAAGCTCCATGAGGGCAGGGATTATGTCCATTTTGAGTTATTATTGTAAACCCAGAGCCTAACATAGGGCCTGATACCTAATCTTTGCTCAATAAATGCTTGTTGAAAAAATACCAATAAAAAGCTATTATTACTATGTGCCAATCTGTTTTAAGAGCTTAAGGGGATTAATTCATCTTAAAACAATCACAGAAGGTAGTTGTATTATTGTCCCACTTTCCAGATGAAGGACCCTAGAAGTTAAACATCTTGCCCAAGGTCAAATACTTAGTAGTGGCAGAACAAGGATTTGAGCCCAGCACGACAGGTCCCAGGTCAGTCACCTTAACCATGATACTACATTGCATGAATGAAGAATGAATCCTAATAGTCACTGAGTGTCTACCAGGTGCCAGATAGTGTCCTAAGAACCGGAGGTGCAGCACCAAACAGAGCCAAGTCCTGTTCTTCTATTGTAGAGAGACAATGAACAAATTTTTCAAAGAATATAAAATATTGGTTGGGTAGAGATTAACGCTGTGAGAAAAAGAACAGAGTAAAGAAAACACATTGATGAAAGAAGGTGATATTTTCTATGAGGTATCAGGCAGGCTGCTGTGATAAGGTGACATTTAAAATCCAGGCTCGGGAATGAACGGTCCATGCTAAGGCCCCAAGTGCATATTTGGGAGTCAGAAAATCAGCAAGGAGGCCAAACCAAGGAGGGTGGGTTTGTAGTCCAGGAATACAAAGACAGTTTTTAATATAGGAAATCTATTAATATAGGTCAAATGAGTAAAAAACACATAATTCTTTCAATAGATGAATTCTGGTAAAATTCGTAACTCAGTCTTAAGCAAAAATAGGGTATTTTTAGGGACAGGTATTCTTCATCTTTATTTTCCAATATCTAGCATAGTATTTGGCAAACAGTAATTGTTTAATCATTTATAAAATTGAATTAATTACAAAATTCCTAACAGTAAAAAAATTAATAAGAAATTCATAGCTTTCACATATACAATAACCACAACACGAAGATAAAATGTAAGAAAAGACCCCATTTATAACAATTACCAAACACAAACAAAAAAAGATAAATTATCTTGGAATACATTTAGGAAATTTGCAAAATTGATATGATTAAAACTCTGAACAGCACTAAAGGATACAAAGAACTTGAACAAATGGAAAAATCATCAAATATTCTTTCTAATTTATAAGTTTAATTTATAAATCTAACACAACCCAATAAAGATAGTAATAGTTGTTTTGCTTTTAACTTAAATAGTTGATCTTAAAATTCCTATGAGCAAGCAAACAAACAAGGATAAGCAACAAAACTGTAAAAATCAATAAGAGAGCAACTGGCACTACCAGATACTTTAAATATGTTACAAAGCCTCAGCAACCACAAGAATGACAACGGAGCATGACTAGACAGAAAACCCACTGAAATGGAGAGTCTACAAATAGACCCCAATGCAGACAGAATGTAATACATAACTTAGGTGACATCGCAACCAATAGACCAAAGAAGGGCCATTTGATAAACAGCACTGAGACAATGAGTAGCCATCTAGAACAAACAAACACCTCACACCTTACAAAGGCACAGAAAAGACAAAGGATTACACCATAAAAATAAATCACAAAAGTTCTAGAAGAAAACATGAAGGGAGATGCCTTCCTACTATGACTCAAAATTTCTAAATCCTAAAAGAGTGATAAATGTATTACTGCATCTACATAAAAACAAACATTATCTAGGTGTTTTGTCAAAAGACAGAGGAACTAGTAAAACAAATTTGTAACATAGGGTTCATCTCACTAATAATGTTTAAACAAAGTCATGGTAGTCAAGAAGAAAATGACCAACACCTGCTAGAAAAAAGGAGACAGAAATTCAAGAGCTTTTAAACATATGAACAGATATTGCTCATTCATAAGAAAAATACAAACGAGAACTAAACTGGGATAGCACTTTTGACCTCTCGCATTGGCAAAAATACAAGTTTGACACCTCTCTGGTTGGCAATGTGGCAATAACTATAAAAATGACTAACACATTTTATTTGACCTAGGATTTCGCTTTTATGAATTTATCCTATAGATACATAGGCACATGTGTGAAAGGGATGTGTGCCTGGCGCATGAGTACAGCACTGGGAGACTGGGGACAGCCCGACTGCCCGTCCACACAAGACTGGGCTACAGAACATCCAAGCTGTGAAATGCCTGCAACTGTGATGAGCGAGGAGAAAGCTCCACAGGTACTGACGCGTAAAGACCTCCAAGATACAGTAAGTGAAAAAAAGCTACATAGCAAGGTATGCTGCCTTTTCTATATAAAAAGGGATAAAAATTTGTTTTCTTATTTACTTTTATATGCACTGAGAAACTCTGGAAGGACATGTAAGAATTTAATGGGGAGAAGGAAGAAGTGGGTGCAAAAAATGGGTGCCAGGAGCTGGGTGGATGAGAGAGACGAGATGAAGACTCACTATAAACCCTTTTATATTTTTAAACCACGTGAATGTGTTACCTGTTCAAAAAATTCCTCTTTAAAAATTATATTCACTACTGTTTAAAAAAGAGTGCGTGTTTTCCCAATATTTGGCCCTTAGTGATTTTCAGTAACTATAAAAAACTAGAGCCTCCAAAATAACCAAGTACTATAACATTTCCCAATGCAGATAACCTCAAAATGACTTCCTCATTCAGATTTCTACCTGCCTGGGATATACGTTTTAAAACCCCAGTTTTGCTACTTGCAAAATACATTTAATAACTAGAATTGACCTATTAGCTAATAGAAGTCCTTAAGCCAAAGAGTTGCTCTAGCTAATAATTTATAATTAGTACTATAGTTATTGAAGAGTTCATTATATAATTTGTTCTCAAGTTGTCTCTATGAAATCATTTTTATAGAGATTTACCTGACCCATACCTTTATATAAATTTGTAGGACTCAAACCAATGAACCTTGAACACATCTGAAACGGACTGTTATTTCCTTTATAATTATCACCTACCATGTACAAGAAAACATTTGTGATAGAGAATTTGTAAATGAAAAGGGCCTGTCAAAATCACCTAAAATGCTATGCTCGTAAAATCTTTCCCTCTCTTGTTTTACTTCAAAGCTAAACTACCTTCACGCACGTTTTCTAGGATAATCAGGGTGTGAATTATGACAATTATTATAATTATAAGCAATGTCAATTATTAAAAAATTAAGTTTTTATGTCACAGTTCTCTTGAGGAAACACTTAACAAGTTGGCTCAAAAGATCTTAAAAAACTTTAGCTTTATTAGCTCCTATCTTAAAGAGTTCCTCAGAAATCCCATTAACCACAAATAAACAAATGGTTGAAATATAACTATACCTTCTTCTTGCTTCCTTTCCTGGAGGACCTGAAGGGATAGATAATCCACAATGTTTGGAGAATTCTTCTTCATCAGCGTATATAGCTGTGCTGTGTAAAGGAGGATCTTCAAAAGACAAAGTGCAACTTTAAAATTCTGGTTGTTTGAGTAGTATTTAAAATTGTTCCCTTGCAATGGAGTACAAAACAATCTTTATTTAAATGGCTGACTAAAATCAATTAGGCCACATCCTAAATATTTTGATCCCATACCTCACCAATAAAACTTAAACCGTATCACCAATAAGCACAGGGATATTTATAACTTTTAAACCTATATTACTGTACTTATATATCACACATAAATTTTTTAATGAGATAAAAAATAATATAAATAAGAAGTCTAACATTTTCTTTCCTCACCCCTATTGAGTGCCTTACACTGTACTTGGGAGACCACTGCATTAGTTATAAACTCTCTAAGCTTAGAGTGGTTGTCCACTCCTGTGACTCTATCACCTCACAAAGTGCATAGCATACAGTGGGCACTCGGTATTCGTGAATGAATGGCCCCCTGGGGAGAGACTCCAGGCCTCCCTCACTTCCCTTCCTCTCCACTTCACTCCAGATCACTAGAGCTTTCAGACAGCATAAAAAGCTACCTTGAATGAGGAAGAGGAGAAGAAGGGCAAATGGCTTTGATGGAAAGGTATAGAAAGGAGATGCTAAGAGGAAGAGGATGCTCTTATCCACTCAGGAAAGAGGAGGAAAAAAGGGATGGCCCTCAGGACTATGGCAGGGGTGGAGAATTTAGGGGAAAAGACGTGGCCAGTAGTGACGGAGTTGAATTGCTATGAGGGGTCTGGCAAGGGCCAGGCAACCATTTCTTCATGCTCAAATTTTAGCATGACAGTGCAAATCTTAATGGCATTTTTTCAAATAAACAGCAGCTTAAATAAAGAATATATCAAACGCACAATTTTTAAAGTTAGTAACATACTTTGTATTGCCCTCAACTAAGCAAAAGGATTTATTTACTCTACCGTTGTGAATAACAAGAAAAAAGAGAAATAGACCAATCCCAAATCTTCAGATGAACCAGTCACACAAGTTGGATTTATAATTTAACAATAAAAAGACAAAGAACCCAATTTAAAAATGAGCAAAGAGTTTGAATAGATACTTCAAAGAAGCTATACAGATGGCCAATAAGCACACTGAAAAAGTGCTTTACATCATTAGTAATTAGTAAAATGTAAATCAAAACCACAACATATCACTTAACACCCTCAGCTTAGGATAACTATTATCAGAAAAAACAAAAACAAAAAAATTTGCACCTGTAATCACAGCTCAGAAGGCTGAGGCAGGAGGATTGCTCGAGGCCAGGAGTTCAAGGCTGCAGTAAGCCATGATCGTGCTACTGCACTCCAGCCTGGATGACAGAGAGAGACCCCATTTC